GGGGGGGGGGGGCACGGGTGGACCCGACCAGACGCGCGACCAAACACATTGGGCGCCACCTGTGCACGCGAGCTGCAGGGGCAAGAGTTTGAGGATGACAAGGACGACAAGCTGCGCCGCCAGCAGGAGCAAAACAAGGCCGCCCAGCAGCGCTACAGGTACCGTTGCGCACGAGCGCAAGTCGTCAAAACCAGACGCGCCCGCCTGCCTGCCTGCCGGCAGCCGCCTGCAGTGATGCGAGGAGCGTCGGCGATGCTTCGCCGCCGCGGCCGTGCTGCGCAGCAGCCGCCGCTCCAGGTTACGTCTGGAGCGCGTCTTGACGGGGCAACCAGGGCTTGGCGCGCGTGATGTGTAGCGACCGGCGACCGTCCAACTGTGGGGCCTGCACAACACTCCGCACGTCGCAGGCAGCGGCGGAAGGAGAAGCAGGAAGGCATGGAGTCGTCCCTCGAGCAGCACAAAACGCAGCTGCAGCAGACCGCGGCGTACGCGCGCGCGCTGGAGGCGCGGGTGGCTGCGCTGGAGGCCGCGCTACAGGCGAGCCAGCAGGGGCCGACGGCGGAGGCGCAGCAGCAGCAGCAGCAGGTGCAGCAGCATCAGCAGCAGGTGCAGCAGCAGCAGCAGCTCAGGCAGCAGCGGCCCACGTCGCCCCCGCGAGTGGCTTCGACTTCGCCACCCGACGCGGCTGCCCACCTCCAGTTGCCATCGGCCCCGGCCACCACGACGCACTCCGCACCCCAGCCGCCCGCGGCGCCCCCCGCGCCGCCGGCCGCGCCCGCGCCCGCGGCGGCGGCTCCGCCGGGCGGCGGCGTGGCGACGGGCGCGGGGCCTGCAGCATCAGGGGCAGCAGCGACGGCAGCGGCAGCGACGTCGAGCCGCCTCCAATACTGCTCGAGCATCGCATCCATTCAAAGCTTTGTTCGCAACCATGGCCTGCGAGAGCTGCTGCGGACAGGCGAGCGAGGGAGTGGGGCTAGCGCGTCCGCCTGGGGCGCAGCGTGGCAACCTGCAGCGCTGCGACGGCTGGTGTTGGACGGCGGCGGCCCTCAACCATTTGAGGCCTCCTACATCCGTGCGTCGAGCACTCCGCGGAGCGTGTGCTGGCTCCCTGTATGCGTGGTTCATTGCGCACGTTCCAGCAATCGTCGCTTGTCCCAGGGATCGTCATGTTCACGCGGTCGTTCCAAACCAACTCTGTGCATGTCGGCACCCCCGCAGGCCAGCCGCTGCCTGAGGAGCTCCTGGCCCCCCTCCACGAGCGCGTCGCTGCCTGCGCCGCGCACTGCGCCGCCGCGGTCAACGTAAACTCGCCCGGCATGCTGCAGCTGCTCGTAGATTCCGCCCAGACCGGCGGCTGCTGCGTCGCGCGGGACCCCTTCCCCGCGCCGCCCCGCGGCGCCGCCAGCACGGGCGGACCGCCTGCGGCTCCTCGCGGCGGCGGCGAGCACGGCGGGCGCGCCGGCTGGCGCGGCACGGACCGGCGACGATGGCTGCAGGTGCTGGCCGACATCGTTTTGACCCACGACCAGATCGCGGCGGTCCTGGGGATGCGCACCGACCTGCTGCGGGCGCTCAACCGCTGCTTCGCGGAGCGCGAGTCGCTGGCCGAGCAGCTTCTCACAGAGTCCCTCGCGGCCGGCGGCAGCGGCAGCGCGCCCGCGTCCGCCGCGGCGAGCGGCGGGCCGGCGA